ATATGTAATAAATTAGAAGTGTAATATATATATATATATATATATATATATAATTAATTGTGTTCAAATATATTGGCACAGGTGAATTAGGAGGACTAAGTAGGTATTTGCTTACACTTTAGTTGTTAAACAAGTAGGTTTAGTTACTTAGTTGTTCAATTTCTGTTTTAGAAGTTTTAGAGAAACTTGATATATAAGGAATATCGAGTTAAAGTTACTTAAACACAAATATATTTATTCTTTTACAAATAATTTTGTAATTGACAACATACAAACATACAAATGTTAATCTTAAAACAAATTTTTACAACCACTTATATCAGATATTCAAAATAATCATCGTATATTTGTTCCAAGTAATTTTTCTTTAGAAAAACTATAAATTCTCCAAGAAGAGAATTTCTTCAATTTCTTCTTCTTCCGGTATACAAATTTCACTGTTACAAAATTATAATGTGGCGCGATATTATACTCTTTAAAACGAAATTCTAAATTTCTCCACCAAAGTTTTACGTTTTAATCCAAAAAATATAAGTTAGAAAAGTTGAACGTATTGTGCTAGCATATAACTTCAGCATAAAACCACGATAATGTTAATATTTAACGATGGTAGCAGTTTCCAGTGGAGCGAGCATCGTTTACGTGGATCGTTCGCACGAGAAATTGAAACATCGAAAACGACCCATTTGATCGAGGAGCATCAGTAGCTCCGAGATATATAAATTTCATTTACGACGCGTCTCGATTGAGAACTTTTAATGAACCATATCCAATCGCGAGATCATGCCCCATTGCTCGAACTTTCCCCACTAAACGGGGGAAAAAAAAAAGAAACTCGCTAAAGTGTTACTTTCTGGTCCACAGAGTACGGGAGGACATGCAAGGACATAGGTTGCATGAGGGATGAGGTCTGCGTGATGGCCGAGGATCCTTGCTCGATCTATCAACGAGATAACTGCGGCCGTTATCCGACTTGTATGAAATCCCGTCCAGGCGGTAAGAATGTTCACTCTTTTCGTAAATATTGATTCTCGTCGATCTCAAATATGTACGCAGTGTAGATCGAGGAGAAAGAAACAAAGGCGCATAAATGTTCTCGATCCATAAATTGATAACACCATTGTTCCTCGATCAATTACGTGTTCATTAAATTTTAATCTATTATGGGTAAATTGGCGACCGGTTGCATGCAAATTTGCTCTCTTTATGATTGATAATAATGATAAATAGCATTTTGATACTTTAATGAACGCGGAATGAATTACTTATGTCGGTTTATTCGTGAAGTGTACATATAAAGTAATTATCGTGAAATAATGTAGATAATTTATCAGAGAATTTATTTAGATAGTTATTTCCGCTTTATTCTTTTTTTTTTATATTTGAAACTTAATACACAGTTCGAATTTTTAAAAAAGAAAAAATTATAAATTTGTTTAACTTTTAAACCCATCAATGTGATACAACGTGAAATTTTTGTATACCAGGATTGAAAAGACAAGTATCTTTTTATTTGCAGAAGCTAATTGTGCTAGCACTCTGTGCGGTGAAAATGAATACTGTAAAACCGAGAATGGTGTCCCGACATGTGTGAAGAAATCAGCAGTAAATGGTGAGTGTTTAAATTCCTCTGTCTTTTATTCGTATTGATTATGCTTGCACGCTGTATGATTAATACTGAAGATCTAAGTGCATGAAGCAGAGAGCAGAATATATGAAAATGAATACAATTGAGAGAGGAATACAATGTCGTTTTAAATTCTCATATATGATTCGAATTATTAATGTAATGTTTTATCTAAAATTTTATTAAATAGTTTAGAAAATATGTATCCTTATGTTTTTTTTTTTGCATGATCTAATTAAAAGGAATATTAAAATATTTTTAATATTTTAAAGTTGAGTAGATGAGAAATAGACAGGTTCTATAATTTTTAAAAATTAAAAATTAAAATTAAAAAATTATCAAGTTTTTTTTCTTAATATATTCATGGGATATTGTATAAGCCACAAAATTAATTAATTCAATTAAGAATAACCATTTTTTTCTCATGTTGAAGTTAAAAATTTTTAACAATTTAATCAATTTGATTCTTGAGTGACCGATATATTAAAAATTTGAAATTTATTTCAAAATTAGAAAAAACTTATTTAGCATTTGTTTATGGAATTCTGAACTATTGTAATCCTTTCTCAATTTTACCAAGAACAAAACTTTATGCCTAGCTTTATGCTTTCTTGTCCTATATTGTATGATTTTACGTTTCTATAAAATTATTTTTGCAATGGAATTATACATACCTTTTTATTACAATTTCTAATTTATCGTTATTTATTTATTTTCGAATAATATACTAAATAACTGTTTGGCAGTTTCATTTCAATTTCTCACTTTGATTTCATACGTGCAGAGGTGATTTACGCGGAAATAACACGTTCTTTATTGATGTAATCTATGAAATCGTTTCGAGTGGAAATTACAATGACACGTCGACACGTGTACGCTTCATTAAAACTTCCGGTGTACTTGGACTTGAACACGTTTTATATGAATCCCGATTTATTTTTTCATTTATCTGATCGTATAAATCTGATTTGGTTAATAAAAACGGATATTTTTAAGAATTTGCTAAAAATACTTCACACTTAGATAGGATGTATTGAATTAAAATTTTAATAAAATATATTTTTCATATTTATCATTGAATTGATGTGATCACAAATCTTTTGCAACAGATTTATCTTTTCATTTTATTTAATTATAAAATTTTTCTTAGGATATTTTATATCATCGTATATTAAATTTTTATATATATTTTTGATAAATCGAATTGACGTGTAATATAAATTCTTTTTGCAACTGCAAATAAGATTTCCAAGTAAAAATCTCATAATTTCGAAATATATTAATGAATGTAAAGCGATGTGTAACGTGAGGTTGCAAACCCCAAGAACCTGTATCTTGAATTTTTTTCCTCTTCTCCGCTTTTTCGAACACGATCTTTCCATTATCGTCTCTTTCTACACAAATGTGTGGATGCGCGTATATATTCACACGAGGTTATAAGATTTCGAAAGAAATTGCTCTCCAACTTAGATATAAATTACTCGGATATAAAATTTTAGCCTTGTCGATAAGGGAGAAAAAAATTTATTGATCTAGTTACAAATAAAATTTACTAGAAATGTATGCTTCATATCGTTACGTTAAAATTCTCTCATTTTAAAAAATCGTATATCACAAACTAATATCTTAAATTAATTTTACAATTATGTTTACCACAAATATCAATAAACATTGATTATAAATATTGATTAAATAAAAAATATTATATTATATCGTTACTTTTTCCTTGATATTTTCGTCCTAGGATAACTACATAGCATGCAGCATAGATGTTCACTTTTAACGCTTTCCAATTATTTTCGCATATCTAACACAGGATGAAAATAACGTAGCACAGTTTTTAGAATCCTCGTAGCACCTTTGTTCGACTAACTTCATTAAAACCAGTTACTGTAAAAAGAAAAAAAAAATAAAAATTACTAATTTAGTAGAAGTATT